ATTTGGGGTCCCTTGAGATTCCGTTTGAATTTTAGGATGAAAAATTGAATTTCGAGTCAATTTTTGTTAAACAACATTTTCCTAGGAATGTGCCCATTTCATCAAAGTTTCAAATTTATCAGCATAAAATCTTTGGGTTTTATTTTTATTATTATGAAATTTGGTAGTCCAAAACCAGACGATATACCTTAATATTCAGCTATTTTGACCTACAAAAATGGCAGTTTCGTCTTTTTCAACCTATACATACAAAAGAGTACACAGAATTTATATGAATTGTTTAGAGAATGGTGATAAAATGCGACACATATGTCCCCAGTGCCAGCGGGAGGACAACATTCTCAATGCCTTTGAAGTCCCCATGTACTCTCTTCTTCCTTTGACAGAGGCAATCGCTATCCTTTCCTTGCTTTTCTTTATACTTGTCCCAAATATGACTTATTTCGAAATGATATATTAGTTTTGTATTTTCTGAACTTGACATCGATAGAATTACACTGGATGTATTTTTCTGTAACTTGTTGCTTTCATTCTATATTACATTTGTGACATAATCCAAGTTGATGCATATAGCTGTAGTTTATTCAGTTTTATTGATGAATAGTTTTTCATTATAGGGCTCTAACATAGACATTTGGGTCGTTTCCGCCTTTTGCCTATTATAAACGATGCTGCCATGAATGATTTGTGCATGTAATCTGGTGTATTTGTGAAAGACTTTCTCTAGGGTGTGCTCAGCAGTGATGTTGTTAGGTCATAAATATGCATGTCTTCTACTCTACTAGAGAATGCCAAATTGTTTTCCAAAGTGGTTGTACCAGCTTACGTCCCCCTTGCCCCCACCCCACGGTGTATGTGTTCTTGTTACTCCATAGCACTGCCAACACTTGGTGCTGTCAGACTTTTCAATTTCTGCCAATCAATGGGAATAAAAGGATACTTCACTGTAGCTTTACATGAAATATATTTCATCTGGCAGCTTTTTATACAGAGTTTTAGTTGATCCTTCTATTCCACCCCCCGCACACACATTTTTCTTTCTTTTTTTTTTTGCAATTTAAAAAAACTTATTTTTGAATTAGAGTTGACATTCATTATTATTTCGTATGAGTTTCAGATGTACAGCACAGTGGTTAGACAGTTACGCAATCTACAAAGCGATCCCCCGATTAGTCCAGCACCCACCTGGCACTGTACATTGTTATTACAATGTCATTGACTATGTTCCCTGTGCTGTGCTTCACATCCCCGTGACTATTTCGTACTTCTTAATCCCTTCTCCTTTTTGATCCAGCTCCCCAACCCACCTCCCATTTAGCAATCACCAGTTTGTTCTCTGTATCTACGAGTCTGTTTCTGTTTTGTTTGTTGGTTTATTTTTGTTCCTTATATTCCACATATAAGTAAAATAATATGATGTTTGTCTTTCTCTGTCTGACTTATTTCACTTGGCATAATACCCTCTAGGTCCATCCATGTTGTTGCAAATGGTGAGTTTTTTTTTTTTTTTTTTTTACGTCTGAGTAATATTCCATCGTATATATGTAGCACAACCTCTTTATCTAATTGTCTATTGATGGGCAGTTAGGTTGCTTCAGTGAACATAGGGGTGCATATATCTTTTCAAATTAGTGTTTTAGTTTTCTTTGGATAAATACCCAGAAGTGCATTTGCTGGGTCATCAAGTAGTTCTATTTTTAATTTTTTGAGGAACCTCCAAACTGTTTTCCATAGTGGCTGCACAAATTTGCAATCCCACCAACAGTGCGCATCCTCGCCAACCCTCGTTGTATGTTGATTTATTGATGATAGCTAGTCTGACAGGTGTGACATGATATCTCATTGTGGTTTTAACTTGCATTTCTCTGATGATTAGTGACCTTGAGCACCTTTTCATATGTCTATTGGCATCTCTATGTCCTCTTTGGAGAAATGCCTATTCGGTTTCTCTGCCCATTGTTTAATCGGATTGTTTGGTTTCTTGGCGTCAAGTTGCATGAGTTCTTTATAAGTTATGTAGACTAACCCCTTATTAGATATATCATTGGCAAATATCTTCTCCCATTCGGTAGGTTGTCACACATTTTTTCTTCCGATATTTCTGCTGCCTCCAATTCATGTGCAAACCAGTCCCTACTGCTGGCTGCCTACAGCTGTTTTAAAAGTTTGGTCTGGTCTCCTAAATCAGTTATTACTCCTCCATCTGCTTTCCAGCTTCCCAAATTTTCTTGGTAGGTACCCCTCTCACTTTCTTTGGTGAATTTATTCCTTTTTACAGTTGTCATTCCCTTAGTGTCGCTTCTGCTGTGTTTCGAGAAGCAAATACCACACAGGTTTTCAAGCTCCTACGCTTAACCCAAAGTCTGCCATGATGCTTGCAATGGCTGTCGGGTCTGTGATTATTCCTCTTGTTCTTCCAAGCATTGTTTATTCGTATATTCTCTCCTTTCATTCTTGCCGGAGTCTTGCCTATTTTACTCATTTCAACAAATCAACTTTTTGTTTTATTGATCTTTCTTTTTCCATTTCATTAATTTCTGCTTTCTTTGCAATTTCCTTCCTTTTACTCTCTTTTGGGTTTATTCTATTGTGGTTTTTCTAACTTCTTGAGTTCGTGCTCATCTTATTCATTTTAAGGCTATACATTTCCTCCTAAGTACTGCTTGAGCTACATCCCATAAGTTTTCACGTGCAGTTTTCTCATTGTTGTTCAGTTTTGTTTTTAGCTTTTCGTTATAATGCTTCTTGGACCGATCGATTATTTGGAAGTGTATTTTTAAATGTAAACTTGTAAATTTAAATTTTCAAAACTATGGAAGGACTTAATTTTAGTTTTATTATCCATTTATGATTTTATTCTATTGCAGTTTGAGAACATGCTCTGTGTGACATCGACTCTTTTAGTATTTTTCGAGATTTGTGGCCTAGGTGAGTTTTAGTAAATGTTCGAGCTCGAAAAGAATGTGTAGTCTCTAGTTTTGGGATGTCCGTTAATCAAGCTTGTTCAATTTTCCCTATATTCTTATTAGTTTTGTCTGCTTGAACTGCCAATCGCAGTGAGAGGTGATGTAATTTATCGTGGCGAATTTACCGATTTCTTAATTATCCCTTTTACTGTTACTTTTTTGTTTGACGTACATTTGAGGCTCTGTCATCAGGCAGATACACACGCATTCAGCGTGTTTAACACTCCGAAAGAATTTTTTCTTTAATCATTGTGCAGCGACCTCTTTAATTCCTAACGATTTGTGCCCTGAGGTCTGCTTTGTCCAATGTTCTCTTCACTACACTTTGGACGGCATTTGCCAGGTTTGTCTCTTTCCACCTGTATCAATTAGGGTTTGGTGGCAGACCACAGAACCATTCCAGCTATTTAAGTTTCAAAAAATAAATAAATGAGTAAAGGATTCGTGATCAGGTAGGGATGATTTATACAATCTTGGGATGAGCTGGAGGAACGACTCCCGCCTTCTGATTCACTACTTCTCCTGGGATCAAGAAAGAATCATGTCTCCCATCCCCCCATGAGACCAAGCCCCTCCTCCCCAGGCTGTCTACACGGATCTTCAACCACCACTTGCCTCTCTGCTGACCGATGGCCCCTCGGAGGACCTCCAGACTGGAGCTCGTCCGAGCTGCACGCTCCTCTGGCCAACTGCCTACTCATCACTCTCGCGGGGGCTGCGGGCCCAGGCCCAGCAGTGATTGTCAGGCGACACTTTCTCTCCGACTTCCTTCAGTGAAGGGTGCCGTCACCCACCTGGCCACCCAGGCCAGAACCCAAGGGTCACCTTGACTCTCCTCTCCCCCTCCCCCCGGAGTCCGAAGCTCGTGACTTTCTTGTAATCTCTCTAATCCGTCCAGGATTTCAGGCCTCAGCACATCTTGTGTGGGCTGCTTTGAGTGGTGTGTACACTCAGCCATGCCGCTCTCTCTATCAATCTCTATCAATCATCTACCATCTTCCTATCATCAAGCAATCTATCATCTGCTTTTTGAGGTGAAAGTCACGGAAATAAAATTAACTCTTTTAAAGTGCACAATTCAGAAGCATTTAGTGCATTCGCACTATTGTGCAGCCATCACCTCTATAGTTCCAGAACGTTTTTGCCACCCGCAAAGGAAACCTTGTACACATTTCCCCCGTCCCCAGCCCCTGACACCCACTGATCCCCTTTCTGTCTCTGTGGATTTGCCTATTCTGGACATTTCTTATGAGTGGACTCATACGACATGTGTCTCTTGTGACTGACTCCTTTCACTTGGCATCGTGTCTTTGCAGTTCAGCCATGTTGCAGTGTGGGTCAGAACTTCTTTCTCTGGCGGTGCGCATTCCTGGAAACACCCCTCCACATGGCCTGCTCTAAGCAAAACTCCATGTGTTTTT